ATAAAAAGAACATCATAGTTAAACACTGGGGCTTATTATGTAGCAAGACAATGAAAAACAGCAGCAGTTTCACCTCTTAACCCTTTACAGTCGATCGGAGCGGGCACGCTCCATTTTGCGTAACTATTTTTAAATCCCGGTAGCTCTGCAACCACGTAAGCTAGCGCAATAATTTTTTTTGCATATGAAACCGGAGGAGTTGTACTTACATCTGATGCCATCAGCTTGTCCTAGGTCACAGTTTCCTTCCACATATAGCTTTGCAAAAACTGCATAAAAATCACTTGCAGCAACAAAAACATGATATTCCAGAAACACGCTTCGCCGATCCGATCAGCTGTTTGTAACACTTCCTACGTCCATCAGCGCGAACTATCACATGACCGCATGACCTGCCCGAAACCGGAAGTGACGTCATTTTGCGGAAATGTAGTTTTTTTACGATCGGGGCCTTATGAGCCTATACTTGTGTTTTAAAAAGTTATGTTTGAGTTTATGACTTTCTGTGTCGTTTCTGGGATGCTTAGGACTCATATTGCACTGCTGGAAATAGTTTATTTTGATGCATATGCTGTTATTTTGCAAATTTGCACTATAATATTTATTTTCGTTTTTCCTGCAGTGTATAAAAATTGGTGTATTTCAAAAATAAAACTATGAAGACACTCAAAATAAATTTCCTGTGGTGGGAAACTAGTTTGTGCAACTTTTTTGTATTTACAGTTTTGAGGGATGAGCCTCTTAAATTTCTCTAACTAGAAATATATGTTAAAAAAACAAAAACGATTTTCAATTTTTTTGTAGTTTATTGCACTTTTTTGCAATTTATGTAATTACTATGCACCTAATGCAGACATATTATTAAAATTTAGGCTGTAATGGTTGTATTGATGTATAGCAACTTGAAATGCTCCCAAAAATGGCTCCACAGCATGTAAAAATATAATATAAGCTCTGGCGGACTTGGTTCTATGGTAGGTCTTAAAGGGTTAATGGTTAGAACAAACACCAAAATTAAGGTTTTGGAGAGGTTCAGAGAAGTTTGGACTTTTTACAGTTACAATGAGTACAATTGCAGATACTCCCTGAACACCATTATTGCATTATGCCATAGTCTGAATAACTGCCTGTCCTTTATTCACCCAAATCCTGTTGTAAATAATCCTGTTATTGTAGGCTCTACCTTACAATGTAAAGCACCTTGAGGAGACTGTTGTTGTGATTTAGCGCTGTATAAATAAAATTGAATTGAACTGAACTGAAGTGAATAAGTCTTCCAAATTTGTTTGTCGTGGTCTGAGTCTACTCTGTCATAGTTTTACAAACGACTCCAAACTACTTAATCCCCCAAAACTTTGCAGAGACTTTGCAGACTTTTGCAATAATTTGCAATGATTAAAATAGTCACAGTTTGGCAAACAAGTCTACTCTGTTTTAGTAAAGTTATTAAAAGTGTTGACAGCTAACACTTAAACAGCAGTAACGTGAATAGAGTGTTATACAGCTTTTATCATGGTCTGCTAAACACACTTTATATTCTGTAACATAGCCTCACCTGCTTTATCCCTCATTTATCATTCTACAGTGTTCAACTTACACTGTCATTTATCATTCAGTGAGTGGAGAGGAAGAACTGTTAGTTCTCAGTCTTGTTCCATTACGGCAGAATGTGCTGAGTATAATTTAACATTAATGAGCCACATTGTGTGTGTGTGTGTGTGTGTGTGTGTGTGTGTAATCTTCTGCCCTCTCTTGTTCTCGTACACCATGTGACCCTGGTTTCCTGCGCCACTGTGTGCGTGCATGTGCATTCCTTACTGATTGTGTATTAACCAGCTAATAAAGGATTTGCGGTTCCAAATGGGAAGACACAGTTTGACTTCCTGATTCATGATCTGTCACATCCACTTTACATTTCACCACCTCTCAGCTGAGACGTGGGGCTCAGGCATGGCTTCAAGTGACCAACAGGCTTTAAAAGAATTTTAAGACTTCTCTTCCATTTCAGTGCCTAAACTTTTTAAGATTAAGAAAGTCCTTTTTGCCTTTTCTTCTCATCATCAAGGATGACTTAGACCTCACATGCTTTAATGCCAACAATAAGTGATTATTCAAGACCTTGTGTGTGAGGGAAAGTATTTGGATTTTTATTTGGGATTTAATTGGGAGCCAATGAAGAGAGAGCAAGCAAGCAAGCAATATATTTATATAGCGCTTTCAGATCAGCCACGAGCTGAACACAAAGTGCTGTACACTTGACATGCCAAACATGATACATTGAGCATGTTAAAAAAAATGAGAAAAATAGTAATAATAATATAACATAAGTAATATATATATAAACACATTTAAAACAATAAAATCAGCACATTAGATTAAAACAATAAAATCAGGGTCAGACTGTGTCATAAGCCAAAGAGTAAAAATGAGTTTTAAGACGTGTTTTAAAAGTGGACAGTGAAGGGGCCTCTCTAATGTGCTGGGAAAGATTGTTCCACAGATTAGGAGCAGCAATAGAGAAGGCCCTGTCCCCTCTGAGCTTCCTCTTGGACCTGGGTACCTCCAAGAGCAGCTTGTCAGCTGACCTGAGAGACCTGGGGGGTGAGTAAGGATGCAGAAGCTCAGAGAGGTAAGTTGGGGCAAGACCATTTAAACATTTAAACACAAACATGAGAATTTTAAAGTGAACTCTAAGATATACAGGCAGCCAATGGAGTGAAGCCAGGACGGGAGTTATGTGCTCTCTTTTACGAGTTCTGGTTAAAAGTCGTGCAGCAGAATTTTGGACCAGCTGCAGACGAGAGAGAAGATGCTGACTAACTCCACAATATAGTGCATTACAGTAATCTAAACGACATGAAATAAAAGCATGGATTACCGTTTCAAGATGCGGCTGAGATAAAATAGGTCTTATCTTTGCCAAGCGCCTTAGATGATAAAAACTGGACTTGACAGTACCCCTAATTTGACTATCTAATTTAAAATCACTGTCCATCTTAAAACCCAGGTTTGTAACAACAGATTTAAAATACTCTGCCAGGGGTCCCAAATCAATAGCGGAGGGTTCACAAGGTCCACTAGGACCAAACAGAATGACCTCAGTTTTGCTGGAATTGCATCTTAGAAAGTTTAGGGACATCCAAGATTTAATGTCTTCTAGACATGCTAAAAGTGGCTTAATAGAGAAGGCATCGTTCTGCTTCAGAGGCAGATAGATCTGACAGTCGTCAGCATAGCAGTGGAAGGATATTCCATGCCTTCTGAGGATGGTTCCCAGGGGCTGTAAATATAATGAAAAAAGCAGAGGCCCTAAAATTGAGCCCTGCGGGACCCCAGACTGAAAAGTGGCAGAGGAAGACTCATACCCTAAAAAGTTAACACTAAAAGTTCTGTCGCAAAGATAAGACCTAAACCATTTCAAAGCAGTACCACGAATGCCTGCAAGATGGTGCAAGCGAGACAGTAAAATGTTGTGATCTACAGTGTCAAAGGCAGCTGTTAGGTCAAGGAGGACAAGAACAACATGATTGCCAGAGTCACAGGAAAGGAGGATATCATTAAAAACCTTTAAGAGTGCTGACTCCGTGCTATGCAAGTTTTTAAAACCTGATTGAAAGACCTCCAGGATACCATTCTCATTTAAAAAATCCATCAATTGGCAATGTACAATTTTCTCTAAGATTTTAGACATAAAAGACAACTTGGAGATAGGTCTGTAGTTAGCCAATACAGTGTGGTCCAGGGCAGGTTTCTTAAGCAAGGGTTGTACTACCGCATGCTTAAAATTAGCAGGGACTACACCAGATATTAAACTGCTGTTTATAACACTAAGAACAGCCTGGCCTATGCTAGGAAAAATCTCCTTAAAAAATTGTGGTGGGACAGGATCATTTGGGGAACCAGAGGGCCTCAGGTGGCCAACCACATCCTCTAAATAAGAAAGAGACACAGGCTCAAACTGGTTAAAAACAGCAGAGCAAGGGATCAAGACAGAGGGGTCAGACTCAGGAGAAGAAATGAGAGCCCGCGTGGTTGCAACCTTCTCAATGAAAAAACACATAAAATCATTAGACAGTTTATGAGAGGCCTCCAAACAGTCACTTTGTGGAGCATTTAAGACTAAGTCAATAGATTTAAATAACACACGTGGATTGTGACTGTTGGAGGAAATGATCTTTGAGAAGTATTTTCTTTTAGCCTCTTTGATTGCATCCTGATAGAGGCGCCAGCAGTCCTTTAGGATTTGAAGAGACACCTGCAGTTTGTCCCTCTTCCATCTGCGTTCAACTCTACGACACTCCCTCCTCACAGTCCGAGTGGCGTCATTAAACCAAGGATCGGTTTTAGCCTTGGGCTTCCTGGTTTTTAATGGTGCCACAGAGTCCAGAATGGTTAGGCAAGAAGATTGAAACCAGGAGCTGAGGTTCTCTGTGTCCAAGGGAGTACGATCGGTGGGGATAGACAGCTGGTTAAAAGCAGTTGAGAACTGGGCAGCAGTGAAAGGGTTAATAATCCGACAGCGGCGAACAGGAGCACCGGTTTGAGCTGTAGTGCGTGAAAACACAGCATCAAATAATACAGCCATATGGTCAGAGAAAGCAGTGTCAGTCACTTCCACATTAGACACAGGTAGACTGTGTGACAAGACCAGGTCTAGTGTGTGTCCGTGTTCATGTGTGGGACCAGGTACGGGCTGGACCAGATTAAAAGAGTCAATGAGGCTTAAAAACTCCTTCACCAGAGGTTTGTCAGGACAGCAGACATGGATATTAAAATCTCCCACAATAAGAACATGATCGTAGTTGGGCATAATCCCAGCTAGAAATTCTGAAAAGTCATTTATGAAATTCTGATTGTATTTAGGGGGACGATAAATAACAGCAAAGAGCACAGAGTTAGAGCGATTAACTTCAAAACACGTGAGCTCAAAGCTGGAAAACGAGGGCTGTAAAACACACTGTTTACATTTAAAATCCTTTTTAAAAACAACCGCCGTTGTTTTTAAAAAGGATTTTAAATGTAAACAGTGTGTTTTACAGCCCTCGTTTTCCAGCTTTGAGCTCACGTGTTTTGAAGTTAATCGCTCTAACTCTGTGCTCTTTGCTGTTATTTATCGTCCCCCTAAATACAATCAGAATTTCATAAATGACTTTTCAGAATTTCTAGCTGGGATTATGCCCAACTACGATCATGTTCTTATTGTGGGAGATTTTAATATCCATGTCTGCTGTCCTGACAAACCTCTGGTGAAGGAGTTTTTAAGCCTCATTGACTCTTTTAATCTGGTCCAGCCCGTACCTGGTCCCACACATGAACACGGACACACACTAGACCTGGTCTTGTCACACAGTCTACCTGTGTCTAATGTGGAAGTGACTGACACTGCTTTCTCTGACCATATGGCTGTATTATTTGATGCTGTGTTTTCACGCACTACAGCTCAAACCGGTGCTCCTGTTCGCCGCTGTCGGATTATTAACCCTTTCACTGCTGCCCAGTTCTCAACTGCTTTTAACCAGCTGTCTATCCCCACCGATCGTACTCCCTTGGACACAGAGAACCTCAGCTCCTGGTTTCAATCTTCTTGCCTAACCATTCTGGACTCTGTGGCACCATTAAAAACCAGGAAGCCCAAGGCTAAAACCGATCCTTGGTTTAATGACGCCACTCGGACTGTGAGGAGGGAGTGTCGTAGAGTTGAACGCAGATGGAAGAGGGACAAACTGCAGGTGTCTCTTCAAATCCTAAAGGACTGCTGGCGCCTCTATCAGGATGCAATCAAAGAGGCTAAAAGAAAATACTTCTCAAAGATCATTTCCTCCAACAGTCACAATCCACGTGTGTTATTTAAATCTATTGACTTAGTCTTAAATGCTCCACAAAGTGACTGTTTGGAGGCCTCTCATAAACTGTCTAATGATTTTATGTGTTTTTTCATTGAGAAGGTTGCAACCACGCGGGCTCTCATTTCTTCTCCTGAGTCTGACCCCTCTGTCTTGATCCCTTGCTCTGCTGTTTTTAACCAGTTTGAGCCTGTGTCTCTTTCTTATTTAGAGGATGTGGTTGGCCACCTGAGGCCCTCTGGTTCCCCAAATGATCCTGTCCCACCACAATTTTTTAAGGAGATTTTTCCTAGCATAGGCCAGGCTGTTCTTAGTGTTATAAACAGCAGTTTAATATCTGGTGTAGTCCCTGCTAATTTTAAGCATGCGGTAGTACAACCCTTGCTTAAGAAACCTGCCCTGGACCACACTGTATTGGCTAACTACAGACCTATCTCCAAGTTGTCTTTTATGTCTAAAATCTTAGAGAAAATTGTACATTGCCAATTGATGGATTTTTTAAATGAGAATGGTATCCTGGAGGTCTTTCAATCAGGTTTTAAAAACTTGCATAGCACGGAGTCAGCACTCTTAAAGGTTTTTAATGATATCCTCCTTTCCTGTGACTCTGGCAATCATGTTGTTCTTGTCCTCCTTGACCTAACAGCTGCCTTTGACACTGTAGATCACAACATTTTACTGTCTCGCTTGCACCATCTTGCAGGCATTCGTGGTACTGCTTTGAAATGGTTTAGGTCTTATCTTTGCGACAGAACTTTTAGTGTTAACTTTTTAGGGTATGAGTCTTCCTCTGCCACTTTTCAGTCTGGGGTCCCGCAGGGCTCAATTTTAGGGCCTCTGCTTTTTTCATTATATTTACAGCCCCTGGGAACCATCCTCAGAAGGCATGGAATATCCTTCCACTGCTATGCTGACGACTGTCAGATCTATCTGCCTCTGAAGCAGAACGATGCCTTCTCTATTAAGCCACTTTTAGCATGTCTAGAAGACATTAAATCTTGGATGTCCCTAAACTTTCTAAGATGCAATTCCAGCAAAACTGAGGTCATTCTGTTTGGTCCTAGTGGACCTTGTGAACCCTCCGCTATTGATTTGGGACCCCTGGCAGAGTATTTTAAATCTGTTGTTACAAACCTGGGTTTTAAGATGGACAGTGATTTTAAATTAGATAGTCAAATTAGGGGTACTGTCAAGTCCAGTTTTTATCATCTAAGGCGCTTGGCAAAGATAAGACCTATTTTATCTCAGCCGCATCTTGAAACGGTAATCCATGCTTTTATTTCATGTCGTTTAGATTACTGTAATGCACTATATTGTGGAGTTAGTCAGCATCTTCTCTCTCGTCTGCAGCTGGTCCAAAATTCTGCTGCACGACTTTTAACCAGAACTCGTAAAAGAGAGCACATAACTCCCGTCCTGGCTTCACTCCATTGGCTGCCTGTATATCTTAGAGTTCACTTTAAAATTCTCATGTTTGTGTTTAAATGTTTAAATGGTCTTGCCCCAACTTACCTCTCTGAGCTTCTGCATCCTTACTCACCCCCCAGGTCTCTCAGGTCAGCTGACAAGCTGCTCTTGGAGGTACCCAGGTCCAAGAGGAAGCTCAGAGGGGACAGGGCCTTCTCTATTGCTGCTCCTAATCTGTGGAACAATCTTTCCCAGCACATTAGAGAGGCCCCTTCACTGTCCACTTTTAAAACACGTCTTAAAACTCATTTTTACTCTTTGGCTTATGACACAGTCTGACCCTGATTTTATTGTTTTAATCTAATGTGCTGATTTTATTGTTTTAAATGTGTTTATATATATATTACTTATGTTATATTATTATTACTATTTTTCTCATTTTTTTTAACATGCTCAATGTATCATGTTTGGCATGTCAAGTGTACAGCACTTTGTGTTCAGCTCGTGGCTGATCTGAAAGCGCTATATAAATAAATTGCTTGCTTGCTTGAAAATATTTTAAACAATAATTTTTTGAAACGTTTACGCAGCTTATGTTGGCATTAAAGCTGTGAGGTCTAAGTCATCCTTGATGATGAGAAGAAAAGGCAAAAAGGACTTTCTTAATCTTAAAAAGTTTAGGCACTGAAATGGAAGAGAAGTCTTAAAATTCTTTTAAAGCCTGTTGGTCACTTGAAGCCATGCCTGAGCCCCACGTCTCAGCTGAGAGGTGGTGAAATGTAAAGTGGATGTGACAGATCATGAATCAGGAAGTCAAACTGTGTCTTCCCATTTGGAACCGCAAATCCTTTATTAGCTGGTTAATACACAATCAGTAAGGAATGCACATGCACGCACACAGTGGCGCAGGAAACCAGGGTCACATGGTGTACGAGAACAAGAGAGGGCAGAAGATTACACACACACACACACACACACACACACACACAATGTGGCTCATTAATGTTAAATTATACTCAGCACATTCTGCCGTAATGGAACAAGACTGAGAACTAACAGTTCTTCCTCTCCACTCACTGAATGATAAATGACAGTGTAAGTTGAACACTGTAGAATGATAAATGAGGGATAAAGCAGGTGAGGCTATGTTACAGAATATAAAGTGTGTTTAGCAGACCATGATAAAAGCTGTATAACACTCTATTCACGTTACTGCTGTTTAAGTGTTAGCTGTCAACACTTTTAATAACTTTACTAAAACAGAGTAGACTTGTTTGCCAAACTGTGACTATTTTAATCATTGCAAATTATTGCAAAAGTCTGCAAAGTCTCTGCAAAGTTTTGGGGGATTAAGTAGTTTGGAGTCGTTTGTAAAACTATGACAGAGTAGACTCAGACCACGACAAACAAATTTGGAAGACTTATTCACTTCAGTTCAGTTCAATTCAATTTTATTTATACAGCGCTAAATCACAACAACAGTCTCCTCAAGGTGCTTTACATTGTAAGGTAGAGCCTACAATAACAGGATTATTTACAACAGGATTTGGGTGAATAAAGGACAGGCAGTTATTCAGACTATGGCATAATGCAATAATGGTGTTCAGGGAGTATCTGCAATTGTACTCATTGTAACTGTAAAAAGTCCAAACTTCTCTGAACCTCTCCAAAACCTTAATTTTGGTGTTTGTTCTAACCATTAACCCTTTAAGACCTACCATAGAACCAAGTCCGCCAGAGCTTATATTATATTTTTACATGCTGTGGAGCCATTTTTGGGAGCATTTCAAGTTGCTATACATCAATACAACCATTACAGCCTAAATTTTAATAATATGTCTGCATTAGGTGCATAGTAATTACATAAATTGCAAAAAAGTGCAATAAACTACAAAAAAATTGAAAATCGTTTTTGTTTTTTTAACATATATTTCTAGTTAGAGAAATTTAAGAGGCTCATCCCTCAAAACTGTAAATACAAAAAAGTTGCACAAACTAGTTTCCCACCACAGGAAATTTATTTTGAGTGTCTTCATAGTTTTATTTTTGAAATACACCAATTTTTATACACTGCAGGAAAAACGAAAATAAATATTATAGTGCAAATTTGCAAAATAACAGCATATGCATCAAAATAAACTATTTCCAGCAGTGCAATATGAGTGATCTTTCTTTGCCTTTAGACAACAATTCTGATGGCAAAAGAGCCAAACGGGACAGGCGCAAAAAAAAAGAAAAAAGAAACAAGTGAATATGTTGTCCTTTTAAGTTGATGTCAGAAGCAGGAAAAATGAGCGGGTTTGACAAGGGCCAAATTCTGATTGCAAGAGAACTGGGTCAGAGCATCTGCAAAACTGCAGCTTTTGTGGGGTGTCCCGTCAAAAGAATCAGTGGTGGACAAGCCAAGGTTCAATAATGCCCGTAGAGAGTGAAGCTGGCTTTCTGGTCTGATCAGACGAACTGCATCTCAAATGTCAAAAAAAAATAATGCTGGTTTTGATAAAAAGGTGCACTCAGTGAAAGAGTAAACAGTGCATCACAGTTTGTTGCTTTGTTATAGGGCTGCATAGTGGGAGACCGGTCAGAAGGCCCATGCTGGCTCTTGGCTCCTGTAGTCCATTTGTATGTTAACTTTGACAGGTACCATCTACGTGGTGGTTCAGGAATGGTTTGAGGAGCACAACAACAAGTTTGATGTGTTGACTTGGCCTCCAACTTCCCCACCTTTCAATCCAATTGAGCATCTTTGGGATCTAATGGACAAACAAATCCAATTCATGGAGTCCCCAGCTAACGACTTACAAGACTTAAAGGATCTGTTACAAACATCTTAGTGCAGATACCACAGCAGACCGGCCTTCAGGGTTCTACTGGAGTCGTTGTCTCAATGGGTCAGAGCTGCTTTCGCAGTGAAGGGAGGACCAACACAATATTAGACAATCTTTGATTTAAAAGCTCTGTCTAAATAAAAATGGTTAGTTTTAACCTTCCCACAAAGATTGCCACAGAGTTGCAAGAACTGCTTGGAGGACTTTAGGTATCTCGCAGGTGTGGCCATTGACGCGCAGGGCAGACAGCAGTCTATGGATCAACACTACATGAAACCAGAAACACATTACATTGACTCAGGTCCTGTTATCATAAACTCAACTCAACAGCTTTTCCAATATAAAAAAAAACACGTTTCAACTGGGTTATCTCAGTGTAAACTCAGGTTTTGGACAATAAGAGGTACTCTCAAAGTAGTACTTTGATGATTTAGATGAATTATGTGTTCACTTCCCTTATTTATAGCTATACTAGTTAAACCTGCAGTTCCTACAATGTCCACTTGAGGCAACTGAGGCTAGCTCCAAAAGCCAATCAATCTCCATAACTACAATGTAAAATTGACCAACTTTACTGCAATAAAAAGTATGTTTATAGTTGAAGTTTGGCCTCTATGGAAAGTTGCCCATAAAGTGGGTGAATTATTTTTTTTTTACTTATTCTTTTTAATGCATCAAAATTGATAGGGCTTACATTTATGGATGTGGGTGTTTGTGTAGCTGACTGGTGTCTGCTCACTGAACTGGATCTCACCACTGTTTTTGTGCTGTTTGTGTATTTTGGAGCTTCATTAAATTATCTGATGAATAATATGGCTAGCTTCAGGGTTGGTGAGTGAAACTATAATAGTGTTGAGGATTTAAGGTGCAGAGCACAGTCACATCCATATAACCTGCTCTCTGTAGACTTTCCCAGGCAGAGTTTATATGTGGCAACATCCCTGATGATGATGATGATGCTAAAAATAAGAAAATAATAATAAAAAAGTAGCTGCACTAATGAACATATTTTAATTTTTATCACATATGGCATACGTGTTCATGGTATAATGAGTCACCGCTATCGCACATTCCAGAACATGTCAGAAATCATCATCTTCATACTTGCCGTTAACATAATAGGTCATGTGGGAGAGGAAGTAAAGATTGT